TTGGTAGACTATAGGGTTGCTCCTCTGTCAAGCTTTGCAAATTTCTCTTGTCAAAATACCAGTGAAGGGCCAACTGTAACACTCAGGTGCAGCAATTGTCAGCTGTCTCAAGACAATTATTACTTTTCGTGGCAGTTTGTTGATCTACCAAATAATCCTGCAACTGCTGTTGGTTTCCGATTCAATCTTACCTCGAAGGCACATGGCGATAAAAAACATTTGAGCTTTGTAAGTGGTACCCTGAGGAATGGGAGCACAGTTGATGATAGGCCAGTTACCTTCAGAGGCAATGATACAAATTTGCTGAAATTTAATTTGTTCCCAAGGATATACCATAATTTACACAATCTCAGGCTCATCCAACCACTATTCCATGAATTTCTTCCTGGATCAGTTTTTCAGGATGCTTCTCAGCTCCAAGCCTCCCTGGAAAGTTCTAATGGGATCATCAACACCACATTATATGTCAACTTTCTGTCTGCATATATCGTCGAGATTGACAATCAGAGTATTATGGGCCCTAGTAAGTAACTTGATTGCAGTGTAGACATGGAAACTTTACATTACTAAAAGCCAATGGAAGGTTCTTGCTGCACAGTTAGATGAGGTGTATTTTTTGATTTATTGATTATATGTCATTATTTGGACACCAGCTTAAGGTGATTTGATAGAGCTCGAGATACTCTGCATGGAAGATTATGCTTGCTTTTGTGATTGTGATTACTGAGCCCATATGGGCTTCTATCGTTCTGGAAGTTTGGATTTGGCTTTGTTGCGCATAGACAGCAGAGGACGTGTTGTTGGGTTTCCGGTTGCTTGCCTACAACTAGATAGGAACTTGTGGCCACTTAGCTATTTGCTACTACGTAACTCGTGCTTCTTCTTTATCTTTGAGTCACTGTTAATCCATGCTGTATGTCTAGTTTTTGGGTCACAGCCATGTCATGAATCGAAAATCGCCTTTAAATAGCTTTAAAATAATTAAGTCCTCTTGTCCATGATAAGGCCAATGCCGGATTCATCATTTGATGTGGTGTGGTTAACGTCACTTGTTAAACTACCTTGACCCTCTCTTAGGCTTACCTTTTACTGCTTAAGATGGTCATGGATAAGTGACTTGAAACACCATTGCTCTAGCGAACAGATAGCTTGTGCCCTTTTTTCTTTTCTTGTACAAGCTGTATTTTATTTGTGATCAGCAGAGACTAGCATAACCTGAGTCCCTAATGCTTGCCCTATAAAATAATTTCCCCATCCATTAGAAAATCATCTCCCTGTTACAGGTTTACAGTAAATATCTTTATCCTTTTTTTCTTTGGGTTAATACCCAAAAAATCCGAAACTGGTACACTTGTGATAAATTTACCCCAAACTAATTTTTTGACCACCAAAAACCCCAAATCGGTACACCTATGACAATTTTACCCTCCATTAGTTTTCGTCAAATTTCTAAGTTGGATGACACGTGGCAGTTGACGGGTGTACCAGTTTGGGGTTTTACCCTCCGTTTGTCACAAGTGTACCGATTTGTGGTTTTTTGTGATATTAATTCAATTTAACGGAGGGTAAATTTGTCACAAATGTACCGGTTTGGGGTTTTTGGTGGTCAAAAAATTAGTTTTGGGTAAAATTATCATAGGTGTACCAATTTAGGGTTTCTCGTGGTATTAACCCTTTTTCTTTTACACTTTCTCGTTTTCGTTTCCTGAATATGACATTGTATTATTATTATTTTTTTTTTTGCAGTAAGTTTCCTTGCTGACCTAGGTGGCCTTTATTGCATCAGTATTGGCATATTCTACTACTTCTTGGTGCAGGTGCTATTCATGTCCTTTTTTCATGCATTCTTTCCTGCATGTTTGGGGTTGTGATGATTGAGTTATCGATTATAAAAAGAAAAATAAGGTCTTGAACTCGGTCCTCATATCTAAATCAGACTCAAAGCTTCTTCTTAGTTAACCTTATTCATCTATCGCTTAGAATGATGGTTGCTTGTGCAGGTGTCCTTTACCCTAAGGATTGCTTCAGCATTCATGCCTTGTTCCCATTTCTAAAGTAGTAAATTGTCAATCAGTTTTTAACATGCCCCTTTACCTTTTTCTGTTTTTTCTGCAGTGTGAATTCAGAGTTAAGAGACTGCGTAATGAAGATGCTGTTCTGCGGCAAATTAGACATCGGCTAAAAGCTCAACAACGCTGGGATAAAGTAATTCCTTTTATAGTTTTGAAGCAACTTCTCGTATACGTCGAGTGAATCAAATTTCCCTTTGGTTTCATGCCTTTAAAAGAATTAACAGATTTTCATGCTTCTTATTGAACAGTTGCGGAAATATGTAATGTACACCTGGGATTGCAAAGCACTGGAAGAGAACTATACAAATAGCACTACTGAACCACATTTAAGCAATTGTATGATGCATTCAGTTCGAAGGAGTGGCTCCCGTCATACCAGCAGATCATCAAGGAAGCAATCAGATAGAGAGGAGACTATTAATATGAGCAAGAGACTTAGCTTACCCAGCAAAAAGGTACAACAATCGATTGTTGGATGCAGTTAAACTCTTTAAACTAAAGGTTGCTCGCATCCTTTTTGTATGCAGAATGCTGCCCCAGAGTTTACCCAGTTGCAGGAGGTAAGCATTCATTTAGCAGGAGCTGGAATCCAGGACAGAATGTCGGAATCAAGATGTGACACTGTATGTATTTTGTTTCCTGGAAGAGAGAGAATTTGTTAATATGAAGACAATAACACTACACCCTATTGGAGCTAGTTTTCTTGAGTGATTCTTATACGACCACACGAAGCAGGGTGCACGATATACCTTTTCATGGTTGCCTTTTCTATCATTTAGCTCTACTGAATGCTAGTGCTTAGATCCAAGGTTTTGGTTTTGTATAGGTTAGATGGGGCGGCTGATTTTTAGGAATCAGACTTAAGAACTCCAGGATCTTGGTAACGATGGTCCATCACTAGGCAAATCATGTCTCTCATGTTAAATTCTTAGGAAGTCTTAGTAATCTGAAAAGGAGGCTTGTGGTGACATTTGGATGCAGTTCATACTTTGTCTCTTCAGCTGTTGTATTTAGTTAGACTGATTTGATAATAATCACCAATCAATTGACTCAAAAGTGCAACGTGACAAGTGTTGATAGCGTTTCCAGCTACATAAAAAAGATTACCCCCAAACACAGGCTCTCATCATATGGGGGCCTAGGTGGCTGTGGCTATTAGCAATCTATACTAGTGGTTCGAATTATGTGGAGTTCAGTCAGGCAGCTTCCCAGATGAAGTTCAAAAGATGTTTGATAAAATAAAGCAAAATGCTCACTCAAGGTGATTTTGACAACAAATTTTGAAGATGTATTTATGTCTTCAATTCAGCAGAAGGGCATTATTATGTGGGCACGACCTTATGGATTGTCAAAGTTCATAGAGGTTTGGCAAGTCAATATCTCCATATGTGATGTTGTCCTCAGCAAGGTCGTTAAAGTTGCTGCAAATGCTCCCAGAAACAGTGTCAATTCTAGACTTGTGCTGACTAACGAATGAGATGGTTCTTGATTTTTGAGTGCCGTAACTTGACGTGGCTAAACATTCTTCTGCAAATGATTAAAAGGCAACGAAGTTATGCAGTTGCATTTTCTTACACTTTCATTGACTTGGCATTTTTATTGATAACCAGCCACGGAAGCACGAGCTCTGTTCCGCAGCTGATAAGAAGCAGCAATCTATTGAATTACAGGAGAAAAGTACCTCTTCAGCATCGGTTCTCTCTCTTACTGATGATCAACTCATTCCACCTTTGCCGGCACTAGGTAAGAAGAAGTTCTGATTTCTCTTTTGCTACTTGATTTTGTTTCTCGACTGTTTGGTCTCGTGAGATGTTCATTTGATTGGTTGTGCTTTATTACTGTATCGTATGAAGATGTATAATTGTTTCTCAAATGTATGGACCATAAGTTCTGTTTTGCCTAGTCGATTTCTGTTCTTATCACCGCTCAACTCAGTGATACTTCTCTCGTAATGCTTTTTTCAAGTTTCCTTCTTTTCTTTTCAGAACTTAAGGCTGGTTCTGGCATGGACATGACTGATGTCCAGAAGAATATTATGCTTTTGTACGAGTACAATGCCATGTTGAGGGAAAAGTTAGTTGCCACCCATTCTATGCTCCGTGATCTAGCAACAGAACCCTCATCTGCAATGTCAAGAGACGAAAGATGACAATGTGCATGTGTTAAAATCTGATTCAAGACATCCCCTTTGGTCATACTCCTGAAAAATTATTAAGGGTGGATAAATGACACGTCACAGGAGAAGACGCTACATAATGAGCTGAACAGTCCAGCGGGCTCTATTATGCATGATTCAAGGCTGTGTCCTCCGGTGAGCCAGCTGGCCATTTCAATGAGAATGCTGGGGGTTCTGTTCAATTCTGTTGGCAACCGCTGCCTGATCTACAGTAAAATCTGATTTTTTTGTATCACTGATGCAGCAAGTTTCTCTATTTTGTGGCTTGAGTAGTCTGTGAGGGAGAACTTTAGCCTGGAATTCAATCTTGCATTCTTGTTTGCAAATTCATGAGACCAAGCAGCTTATGTGAATTGTATCTACATTTTTTGAGGTTATTAGATGTCAAATGTACAATACGTAGAAAGCCAATAGAGGAGAATAGTCTATATACGTGTCAGGTGGAACTTCAGATTTATTGATATGTACTATTTTTCTTTTTCTGCTAATTCACATGACCCGTACCTGCAATTCTAATTTCCCATAGATTATTAGGTTTTGGCCACGGCGGAACGCCTTGGAATCTCACACTAGGGACTTTGACAATAACACTCTAGAAGACCTAAATTGACCGACTTAGGCTAAGAAATGGATCAGAATGTGATCCTGTTCAATATACCTGTTTGGCATACTATGGAGGCTCCAAAATTGCATATCTGGAAAACTTGTTGACATATATTATAAATGGAGACATGGAATTCGTCTTATTTAGATTGAGGAGAAACTTTATAATGCATTCCAGTACCTTGAAGCCAACATCACTACACAATTTTGTTTGGCCGAAAGAAAAGGTTGCAAAGAATACTTTATACAAAGAATAAACAAGAATCGGTTCTTGATGCGACTTCACCAAGTATGTTTGATCAAGATGCCTGGTCTTTTGTAAGCTTAAGCTCGTTCTGACTACTAGAATGCTTATTTGCTGAAAAATGAATCCCAATTTCAGAGAGATCATGGCGCAACAGATCTGCACTCTTAAACTGTATACCAACAATGCCAACTTCCAATGCAGCCTCCACATTCCTTAGCCTGTGCAATCATTGCAACAACAAGGGTAATAAATAGGAATTGCACCAATAAGTCAGATCTCTCTCTCTCTCTCTCTCTCTCTCTCTCTCATGCATTCATGCAAACTTTCATGCATGCACTCCCCAAGCACACACTGAACGTATATGAGCAGAATAGAACCATTGTGCAGATTAGAAATCAACGTAAAGGAAGAGCTAGAACTAAAGAAAGAAAAAAACCGATCCCCATCTTAGGAATGCATTTGCGGCTTTCAGTACTGACCAGAACTCATACAAGATATGGACAAATAATAAGAGCAAGGAAAGCCAATAACCTGTCATCAATGAAGACACAGCTAGGTGGATCAACTTTCAGGTGTCGCAGAGCATCCAAATAGAAATCACGATCAGGCTTCCTTTTTCCTGAAAGAGAAAAGAATTATCTATCAAGTTTAGCATGGACTCTCCTGAAAAATAATGACTTGAATCGCCATCATCAAAATCTCCTCAATGAAAAGTCCCCACGTGCCATTTATGCATGAACAAAATGTCCAGGATAAGTATCTCGATATTTTCAACTTCTCCTCAATCATTTCGTACCTGCAAAAATAATTGAGATATAGATGAACCCCGTTATGAACTGACAAATGTATACATATCTCATCTTACCAGATAGGGTAGTTCGTGAAAGCATGCATCTCATAGCCATTTTCTTTTAATTCCTGAAGAAGTTCCTCGATCCCTTCAAGATAGGAATATCCCTTTCTCATGCATGTTTTAAGGCCTACAAAAAGAGTGAGTGGGATTAGCAGGTTCTCAATGATTGACAAGAGAGCATTCAGAACCAAATTAAAGCAAAGAAATTGACAGAAACCGGTTCTACTTATTGCAGTGATCTAATTTAAAATTGATCACAAGAGGGGCAGATGTATAGTATCTACATTGAAATATTCGTTGATGTGAGCCTATGACAAATGAAAATAAACAAGCAGGAAAGAATTGCCGCATTCCGCTTTGTCTGTTGAATTGCTTGATCACTCTTGCTTTTCTTTGCAATAAGATTTTTTTAAGCACAAAAGGACAATATATGAGTGATTTATAATATATAGGAATCTCATTATTGGTACTGAACATGTCTAGGAAAGAGAAACTAAATAATCCATTTTCTTCTTCTTTGTATTTAAGACCGAAAACACAGAACTGATATTACGAAAAACGAATAAACAGTATTAGAGGCAGACTCTTCTCTAATCCACTGTAAAATTTTACATGAGACACTATTTTATAAACTGCCATACTTTTGCAGGCATCATTAACATACCCACTATCCAATGCCACAATAAAGATGCTAATGACTAATGAGGTTAGTCACCAACCTTCCAAATCAAAAGGCCTTCCATCTTTGAAGAATTTTCTGGCCAGTTCCATCTGTGCAAGCATAATAGCAAACTTAAGGGAAATGATGAAGAATAAAGAGAGAAATTGTGAAACGGGTAATGGCAGCAACATCGAAGAGAAGGTAATTCAGGTTGTCTAAAAACACGAAACAAATAATCGACAGTCTGCAGTAACTGTGGGAAGCTTCTGCAAAGCTCATAAGGCCTTATCCTAACTGATCTCAATTCATAACTCTGTCCCTCCAAAGAACCTCAATGACAAGCTAGACTTGCAGCCAAAAAACAAACCAATTCAACAGCTGAAACTCAACCACTCGAAATGAAAGGGAAACATAGAACTTCGAAGACCATTTTTCGTGGAGTACCTCGTCGATTAATCCCTCTTCGAACTCAATCCACGCAGTTGGGTTCTTGCATTCTATCAGCTCCTTCAAAGGCATTCTAATCAGAAAAAGCTCAATCTGATCATCTAAAACAGAAAGTCAACAAGAAAAAAAAAAACACACACACACAGAGAACTGAAGCCGCCCGCGCAGCAAAACCCATCAAGCCTCCACTTTGTCACCAAGAAAGACCACATCTTTTCGACATCAACACGGTTTCATCACCGGGCAGACATAATGGAATGGCAAAAAGAAAAGTACCCGAAGAAGGCAGGGACGTCCTGGTAAAAAGGGTCGCGCACGATTGTGTCCATGACGTCGAAGAGCAAGATGGGTCGCCCCCGTTCGGCGCGGGGCGAGCTCGGAGGAGCGAAAGAAGCCGACTTGCGGTTGCTGCTGCGGAGGGCGGCGGAAGCCATTCTTGCGGTTCTTGGGGAGAGAGAGAGAGGGAAAGGGAGGGAAGACGGCCTCAACGAAACAGCCATTTGCCCGAGACACGTCGCTTGGGCTACGTTGTTCGCTTTCTGTTTTATACGGTGGAGCTCTGTTTCGTCCTCGATGGAATCGTTTCTTGGGTTTGTGGAGTTGTTGCGGATTGGGAAGAGGGTTCAAGAACGGCCATGGCTTGTGTCGTTCGGTCTGGTCTAGTGGCACCAGGCTCCGGCAAGAGCTAATCGGGTCGGACGGTTTCTTCTTCTTTTTTTTTTTTTCTTTTTAATATCACAACAAACCATAAATCGGTACACATGTGATGAATTTATTTCAAACCGGTACATTTGCGACGAATTTACCCTAAATTAGTTTCCGTTAAATTTTACCGTCAAAATACTGAGTAGCAGTTAACGGATGTATCGGTTTGAGGTTTTAACCCTCCGTTTATCACGGGGTGTACTATTTATTCAATTTAAAGAAAACTAACGAAGGTAAATTTGTCACAAGTGGTGGAGTGTCTACTGAGAAAAAAATAATTTTGGGTAAATTTATTGTAAGTGTACCAGTTTGGGATTTTTGATTGTCAAAAGATTAGTTTTAGGAAAAAATTTTCACAAGGGTTCCAGTTTGGAGTTTTTCGTGATATCAACCCTAATAATTATACGGGATATATGCATGGGAAGTCCTAAGACTTGCCTCGAAAGTGCACATCAACATTTTTTTTGTTAATCAAATTGGATGGAGTTATCGGAAGAACTTGATTGCACTAATTTAACAAGTTTTAGGACTTGATTACACTTTTTATTAATTTTACGACTCGATTGCACTTTCATGACAAATCTAAAGACTTTTAGTTCACATATCCCTAATAATAATATTTTTCTTGTTAATAATTGCAACAACTATATTTATTGCCTCAAATCCTCCAAATTAAGAATCTTGAAGGAATCGATTGACTATAACAACTAAATTAGATTGACACATCCTTCATGCAAAGTGATAATATTGTAATAGAGTTCCCGCTCGTAAATGTGGGTTTGGAGTTGGATTTAAGTTCCGAACAATATAGGGTTAGTATCATTAAAAATTCAAAACTAATACGATCATGTCACATTTACCTTAAACAAATTTTCGAGTCATAAAAAATTTCAAATTAGTACTCTCGAGCTACATTTACCGCAAACTAATTTTCGCATCGCAAAATCCCAACTTGGTACGCATTTATCTCAAACTAATTTTCATATTGCAAAAAATCCCAACATAATATGCTCATATCACATCTACCCCAAATTAGTTTTCATGTCAAAAACTAACGGTGTTAGTGTGGCCTGTTCATTTGTAACTGGAGATGGTTAATTGAACTAGCCTGGACATTATCTATCTAAATCAACTAGCAAACCATACTACGATTAGCCATCATTCCTCATGGAAATTTCGGAACGAGACAATGCTGCATTTCCGACTGAGAGCGAACTCTAAATGAGAGGTGAAGATGCAGATAAGAGTTCAGCAGCCAAAACTAAAAGCTACCAAATCCCTCTTCCAGTTCAAATTCAGCAGCCCAAGTACAAGCCATCAAATGCTTACTCTACATTGATCGAATTCTAAGTTTCCACATCCAAACCACTGGTATTCGATGAGGGTTGACAGTAATATTTCGAGCAAAGAGTTCCAAGGAGAAAACTCAGGCCGATCTGTCACTAAAGCAGCAAGAATATACACTCTGAGGTTCATTCTCTTAGACTGGATTAAAGCTTGGTTTCGAGAATGTATCTTCTAGCGCGAGCCGAACAAAACAGAGAGACGATGCTGATGTAGAAAGTGATGGCGGCACTTAGCAAGAACACCGACAGGGAAATTGGTCCTTCGACCATCTCTTCCTGAAATGTCTTACCGGGCATGATTGGCACACTTTCCTGGCCACAAACTCCAGATGAAGACTCCACGCACAAGTTCGGATTTCCAGCAAATGCTCCTGGAAATCTCAAGAAGCCCTGTTTCTTAGATATATATCCAGAGAAGCTGTTGTACGATAGGTCCAGCACCGTTAGATCTTCAAGTCCAGAGACATTTTCCGATATCTGACCTGATAGAGAATTATACGACAAATCCAAGGCCTTTAAACTGCGCATTTTCTCTAAATCTGGAAGACGACCGGTCAGAATATTGTATGACAAGTTCAAGTACTCCAAGCCTTCCAGCCCAAATAGTCCAGATGGAATTTCCCCATGGAGCATATTACCAGACAGATCAATCCCAACAGCTGCAACAATATCATAGTTGAGCCTCACTTCATTGGTACCAGCGACAACTACGTGCACTTTGATCCCAACCGTTGCCATGGAAACCAATGAGATATTACCTGGCTGTCTAGCAAAATCTCTGTTGTTGTAATACAAACTTAAGTTGAAGTTACTGTCTGGTATGATGCCCGATAAGTTGTTTCCTGAGAAATCCATCATCCGAATTGCTTGGAATGTGAATACCCAGCTCGGGAGATTTCCACTAAACTTATTTCGAGCCAAGGACAGATACTTAAGGTTTGACCATTTGGTTATCGCATCGTTCAATGTCCCGGAGAGGTTGTTGGAGCTTAAATCAACTATCTCCAGAGATTTCCACCCGGCCAAAGTTTGTGGGATTTCACCAGAGATTTTGTTGTTACTGATATCCAGAATCTTTAAACCACTTAAAGCATCAAGCTCTGGTTGAATCACACCCGTAAGATTGTTGTTATTAAGTATCAGAGCAAGAAGCTGAAAACAACCAACAATGTTCAACGGAATGGCACCGGACAACACATTGTTCGAGAGATCGATCACTTGGAGGTAGGTCAAATTTCCAATCCTTGACGGTATCTCGCCAGTGAGAAGATTGTGCGAAAGAAACAATGCCTGCAAGCTCTTTAACTCTGTAAGCTTTGACGGGATTTCACCAGATAACTGATTGTGCGACAGGTCAAGGAGTATGAGCCCTTTCTCGGTCGCCTCAGCAATCTTACTCGGAAGAGGACCGGCCAAATCATTGAAGCTAAGGTCCAAAACGAGAATCTTCTCCGAGAACACAAGTCTAGGAGAGATCTTGTAGCTCAATTGGTTATGTGACAAGTTTAGATGCGTCAAGGCCTCGAGTGAAGCAATACACGTAGGAATTCCTCCCACTATATAATTATCTGCTAAATTCAGAACACTGAGAGATCCAGAACAGGCAGAAAAACACGGCAGAGTACCCGATAAAGAATTCGATCCAAGATCGAGAATTTCCAAAGACTGCTGAAAATCCCTTAGGCTACCACCGAAATTATTGTTCTCCAAGTTCAGGTACCTCAAGGACTTCAAGTACAACAAACTCTCGGGAATTTCCCCATGGAAAGAGTTGAAACCGGCATCGAGCTTTTCCAACTGGTCGGAGAAATTACCGATCCACGGCGGCATGAGGCCCCCCAAATCTTGGTTCCAAGACAAAATGAGCTCCCTCAAATTACCAAGCCTACTGATCGTGTCAGGCAAAGCTCCACCAAACCTATTGTGACTGAGATCAAGGGTCCTGAGACTATAGAGGGAGCCGAAACACGGCGGAATCGTTCCCGCGAAACTATTCCGTGCCAAAGCTAAAGACTCGAGAGAAGACAGATTGCACAAGCTGGGGTGAATGTCCCCAGACAAGTTCATACTGGTCAGGTTCACTGAGATTACCTTGCTACTGTCACTGGAGCAGGTGATGCCCGTCCAGTTCGTGCAGTTGGACCCCGACCAAGCGGACAAGCTCCTGCTCGGGTCTTGCACGCCAGACCTGAACAGCAACAGGGAGGCCTTGTCTTGTGGGTCAATGTCCAGCGACTCGCAAGGGTTTAAGCTCAGCAGAAGCACCGAGAACACAAGCAGCAGGAGCAGCAGCAACTCGTATAACTTCGTGGGTCGAGACGAATTTGCCTCCATTGCGAAGCACGAGCCTAAAGGGAGCAGCTTTGAGCTGGAAACAGGGGCGGGGAGGTGCTGTGAGGTGAGGGAAGGAAGAGGTTTTTACTCACGAAAATGGAGGGTCGATGGGTTGGAGTTGCCTGATGGGTAGGTGAAAAAAAGGGAGAGGTGAACAGGCATTCCCTTTCTCTTTAGTCTTTGGTGCTCTTCCTTTGAGCATTAGAAAATCGCCATCAAAGAGCATAAAGCTTCTCTCTTTATGCCCTCTCTCTCACTTCTGTTGCTGTCACTAAAGCTCGACTGTTGTCTTCTGCAAATTCGGACCGGGACGGTTTGAACCGGGAAATCAGTCCCCGAACCGGAACCGGTTCATCTTCTTTTTGGTAGGTGTGAATCGTGTGATATGGATTTATTTATTTCTCTTTATCTTGTCTGTACGAGGAAAAATTACACAAACAGTCTCTAAACTTTGACCCAACATATAATGCAGTCTTTGAACTTTTAATTTATTTAATGTAGTCCCCGAACTTTAGCATAATGTGCAATTTAATCCGTAAACTTTTAATATATTCAATGTGGTCCCTAGACTTTTGGTACATGTTCAATTTAGTCCCTGAACTCTATGAAAATATTCAATGTAATCCCTATGAAAATATTCAATGTAGTCCCTGAACTTGAATTAATAGAAGGACTACATTGAATATTTTCATATAGTTCAGGGACTACATAGAACATGTACCAAAAGTTTGGGGACCATATTGAACAAATTAAAAGTTCAAAGATCAAATTGAATATTATGCTAAAGTTTAGAGACTACATTGAACAAATTAAAAGTTCATGGACCAAATGGCATATTGGGCCAAAGTTTAGCGACTGTTTGTGTCATTATCCCTTTGTACAATGACAAAATCGGTTTAACTTTACTTCTTTGTCTTTCGTATGTTTATTGAGCTATAGCAGTGTCTCGCAACATCAAATCACAAATGATTTGTAAACATTAGTATCACAAACAACTTTATCATCCGAAAAAAATTAGCTTTTATATTTTATTTGAGCAAAAGTAATAAAAAATTCTAAATTATATTAACTGTGACACATTTATCCTAAACTCTTTTCCATGACACCCAAAATCATAAACTTCTACCTGTCCGACACATTTACCCTCCGTCAAAATTATGTCAATGTGCCTATATGGATGCTAAAATGCAAACAAAATTGGCATCAAACGATGTTATTTTGGTTGAAAATTCATCTAAGAGAACCTCGACGAAAGATAAATATGTCATATAGGTATAAGTTTGGGGTTTTTTATTTTATAAGAAAAAGGTTAGGGTAAATGTGTCACAGTAGACATAGTTTAGGGTTTTTGATGTCACAAAAAAAAAATTCGAGGTAAATATGTCATAATAAGCATAATTTGAGGTTTTTTGCGGCTTTTTCCTTATTTTATTTGTTATTCAATTTGAATTTTGCGACTTATGCACCTTGATATTTTAAGCTACTTTCGTTGTCGTCTCTTTAATAAGCCATTATTCTGCTTTTTGCGTGTAAGTTACGCAGGCTAAATATATATAGACATATTAGACTAATAAAAGTAACGATTCTTTTTTATTAACTTTGATGACAAGAATATATATATGTATATATATATATGTATATATATATATATATATATATATATATATATATTAAATGTGGGATATGGCCAGTATTGTTGAATAAAGCTAAGCAAAAATTTTGACGTTCAGAAAACGCATGAAATTTGAAAATAGAGGAAAAATGCATTCTTTTGACACCAAATTTTCCTCCAATAATATGAAATTAAAGTCAGGTTAGTTAATTAAGAATATATATTTATCGTTGAAAGAAAGGAATGTATTAGTTTTTTTTTAAATAACTAATTTTATCAGTAGCCATTGATATGTTGATTTATTGAAAAAATATTGTACATTTTTAGAAATGGAAAAACCAATTATTTAATTGTAACCAATGACATTTAAGTTGGCAAAAAATAAGGATCCAAAAATTAACACTAATATTTCCTTTCACACTAAAAAAATTCATAAAAAAAATTGCAATACGATCTATCCACGTGCAACACACCAATTATCTTAGATCTATATTTTCTGATAAATTTACAAATTTAGCACCTCATCACATTCAAACAATCGCCCCAGGAAACTTCACACGGAAGAGGGCACTGATGATGCGTGCGCTTTGTGCTGAACTACCCTGCCAAGCCAACGTTGAGCCTCCTAAGCCAAACTGAATGCAGCACCATGTGTAGCACGTCGAAGGGTTTCGCCGGCCGATTCAGCTCGAAATGTCGCCGGACCTGGGTCCCTCTCCTTTGCAACTTCAAGTACTCGGCTTCCGAGACCCGCTTCAGTATGGCCTTCATCTCCGCAATCTTCTCAACAGGTACTGTTATTGAGAACTTGCTCCAATCGAGGACGTCGCCGAACGGCAGGGGGTAGTGGGCTGAAATGATCACTGGGACGCACCCCGAGTGGATCGACTCGACCAGCCTAGGGCTTGCGACCTCAAAGCCGCTCGGGCAAAGGCAGAACTTGCTCTGGCCCATGTATTGCATGTAGTTTTGGCCGCTTGGGAGGTACTCGTGGACTTGGACTTCACTGTCCTTGTCCTTCCAATGGTGAAGCAGGATCTTCCTGATGTCCCCATGAGGGCCTCCGGCGAAGAAGGCAAAGATGCTGCGCTTGCTCGGTGGCAGCCCAAGATGGGGTATGGTGATATTGTAAAGAGGCAATTTGAACTCAGGGAGTGAGGCATCTCTCGTGGGGTTGAATCCCTCGGAAGTGTTTGCATTGCAAAGCACTCTTACGAAGTTCTTGAACTTTTTTGTGTCTGCTCGTGTGACCTCTGGTGCCTGAAATGCCCATTTCCACTAGTGATTTGAAGAGTACAAGAAGTAAATTGAGAAGAATTGAACAAGTTGATCAAGACACACGCACAGACACGTACCCAATCATGGCAAGAGACCATGAAATGGTCGGCACCGAGGCTTCTGTTCCAAAAAGGGTACTTATGAGCCACCACATCGACGTAATCAGTGAAGGTGCGAATGAGTTGGTCTCGGGCATAGGTGGTGATGGGCATGTAGATGTAGGTTATGATATTGGCAATGCTCATCGGCAAGAAGAAGGCGTGGGCCTGGTCGGGACGGCGGGCCAAGAAGGGGCTGAGCCCGCTCTCCAGCTCGTCGATGAACTGGCCCTCGATACTGTATATGTCGCTCACTGGCCCTTGATGCACCAAGGGCAGCTCTCCTTCCCTGTAGCTCCATATCTTGAATCTCTTCACCATCTCGATATGACTCCTGATCATCATCATTCAGCGGATTGTGTTATAATTATGAACAAGTCTGGTGTAGTGACAAGGGATGGCAATTTTGTGAAGCAACCATAGTTTTTCTATTACTATGTCATGTCAATGCATCAGACCCGTCACTTTTGCATCAGTTTTGAAAATGCAAAGTTCTTATTCATACAGTTACAAGCAGGAATTCGGGACGCTCACATCCATTCTACTTAAAACTCCCCATCGCGAAGACAAATAACAATGGCTCGAGCGAGCCAAACTAGTTAGTATCATTGATGAACTACTGAATGATTTTTCCTTGTTGATGATGTAATCTACACGTATTTCAGCAATCAGAATTCTCGATATTAGAATTTGGTCAATTACGTAGACAAACAACACAATATAGACTTCCCATTAATTGCACTTGTCCTTGAGGAAAACCTCAAACTCTTCATGCCTGACTTCGTGAGATGGGTGTTCCCATCAGTTAATGCAATTAAACACGAGAATGGACATTGCAATCAGCCATTATTGTCCATACTTTATGCCAAAAATAGTCAACTATAGTCCACACTCTTTCAACCAGCATGTTATGTGTCTCAAAAAAAAAAGAGAAGTTTTATCAGGTCCAGTTAAAGATTCAGTTCGTAGAAGATGATTTACAGAAATACCATTGGATATAGATGACGGAAACATACACATTTCATGCATCTAATTATGCTTGGATGAGATTATGGTTGTGTGAAACAGACAAAGGAAGGGAATGGGCTCAAACTCAACTGATGAAAAGCATAAGCATTCCGGTAGATGGATCCCCGGGGGACGAATGTCTCCTCTTTGTCTGACGTATAGTTCCGGGCACGAACCGCGTCGCGAATCGCCGCTCGTGCTCTAGCTAAATCCTTTTCTACTCTCCGCAAACTACTGATCTTCTTCTGCACCTGGATTTTTTTTGCAGTAATCAAAAACCCGAAAACCATCATAAAACGCACATTATCTGCACATGCATCTATATATCGAATCGTAAAGATGAACCGAAAAGATAAGAACAGTATTTCCTCACCTTGTTAATTTGGATAGAACTAGAATTGGTCTGATGGGGAGAAACATGGAGGGAAGATTTGAGGGTTTCCAAAGAGATCGAAGGCAAGACTTGCGTCGAGTGGCGGTTGGTGTCTCGGACCGGGCTAAAGTACGTGGAAACAGATTGATTCGCAGGAGACAGGTACAGAAAGAAGAGGAGGAGAAGTAGAAGAAGAGTAGGGAAGATCACACAGTGTGTGACACCGTAAGACATCGCCATTGCACTCTTCAAATCCTCTCTCCGTCCATAAGTCTTTCGTTCTTAGCGCTCGTGCTTGTGTTTTAAGGAAGGTTTGGAGAGGGTGAGTTTAAGGTGAGGCAATTAAATAGGGCAACAAGATCATGCCCACTACTGACTTTCCTCGTATGGAGCTGCTGCTTTTGCAAGAGCAATTAAAGAGTTTGGACACATCTGAGTTGCGAGAACAGATCATATGAAAACGGTCGCTGTCGATACAATGATCTTGACGGGGGTCATTACCAGGGCATGAAGGTGTTCAGGACTTGCACCCATCTTTTCAACACGCTTCATTGACACTCAAAAGTAAAAAGATAAACCAAAGACACTACGTGAGATCCATAGCAGAATCATCATATAAATATGGGTTGCTTTCTCTTTTCTTTCTTTTGGTCTTTTTCGAGTTTATTGAGGAGGTGCAGAAGAGATTCTTTTTACAATTGGAATAGGGTAAGTTCTTTCCTAGAATGGTTGGAGCAATTGAGGAAGTCAAAGATTTTCTCATTAGTCAACTATATGATACCTATACCAATGTGGAAGTGTAATTAAGATGGTAGGGCTGGTTTTATGTTTCCTTATAAGATGTTTGTTACCAAAGAGAGAAAGTTTGAGGTTTTCGACTAATCTCGTGATATACGCAGTGTATTATCTTGGAATTCAATAACTTTTACTGCAAAGACCGATAAGATCTTGTCGCGCCAGATTCGAGAGGCTTTTAGATGTCTTCAAAGCATATAGTCGATCGTTCATCCGACTAATCACCTCGAGCAAAGGTTAATATTCTTCTTCGAGGGAGAATAAGGAAATTAATAACAAATTGCTGGCTGGAGTTGGATAAAATTGCTGCGGGGTACTCTAGAAGTACCCAAATTCTCTTGTCAAAGTCATTGGATATATCATAAATTTGTCCAATTCAAGCACACATCCGGTTCATCCAACAATTTACGTGATATTTCTTGCGCAACACGCGTTAGAAATGGATTTCTTATGTATGAATCTAGGTAAAAATGTGTTTAAGCATATACAAACCGACCTTATTATATTAATATAGCGCTCTCACCTACTTGAGTGCAATGATGATCTCACAAAAGTTTACATGATTTGAAAAGATATCCGAGTAACATCCCTCCATCTTAGTTTTCTATAGCATTATATACTTGCATTTTTTAGTCTTAGGTCATCTACTAGTCTAAGGGTGATGGGCGGTATTACAACATTCAATTATTTCACGACTTCAAGTGACCATACATGTAATTTTTTTCCTTGAAATTCCTTTTCTTAAGCTCCAAATTAAGATGCTTTGTAATTAGGTTTCTTAGTTGAGAGTTGGTCAAATTGATGTAATTGAAATTTCGTGGGTCCAAACAAAAAAAGAAGTTAAAAGGGTCAATTGATCAATTAAGGAAACTATGGTATCAATAAATCATAGAAATTGATGTGAGTGGGGGTCAAAGGACTAAGGAACCGCTTCTTAGCACACATATTTAGGGCAATTCACATTTGGGGTCACTAAACTTAGGTTACATTTATGATCAAATCTACACTGAATTCTAATTTCAATTGGTCAATCATTTAGTGAGAAGTTCCAATGACAGATGCAATAAATTCATCGACTTTAATGGGTCAAAGAAAAAGATTTTATTTTTTCTTTTGGTCTGAAAAGCAAAAGATTCAATGAGGTCAAGATTATGAATAAAGAAGATTTTTTATACCAACAAGTGAAAAAGGACAAATGATGTTAGTATGGTCAAATGACCCCATCCAAGGTGCTGACTGCTGAGCAATGCCACATCGAGGTGACCCGAATTTAGCATAATGGCAAAGAGACTCTATCTTACTAAGTCTGACTTCTTAGTCTCGTGAAATATAGATAACTCACGTCGGGGTTTGGAGATTGAGGAGCCACTCCCCCGTGACCAATGCTCGAAGAGGGAAAAAAACAAGCAAACCATTGTCATAACTTTCGTACGACATTCATTGCAGTGTCATAAATTTTTCGTTCGATGACTTATGTGCCAAAACTATCTAAAAACGCTTCACTTGAGTAACTCTAGCAACATATCTCCGGCGAATCCTACATGAATTTATTTTAGTAAAAACATATCCAACGTATTTTTTAAAAAGAGAGAAGTCCAAAGTGGAGTTAAGCCCGGGATCATGGCCTTGAATGACAATTTTTTTCAATTTCTTTAGCTTGAACCAAGCAGGAGAGATCGCCTTCATCCTCCACCCCCAAACGCCTCCTCAACTTCTTCCGCCGGTGTGATTCCTTTCTAAGGCTTGCCTCAGAATTTGCCCTTCTCGATTCTTGCCGTCATTCTCTACTATTCTATGTTTTTCTTTCGCCTATGATGTCACCGATCGAATGACTTGTAAATTTTTTGATTTGCAAATGAAAATGGGGTTAGGGTTTTTGATTAAGACCTACTTTAGCCTCAAATTGTCAATTTGGAGCAAGGAAATGGCTCAAATCACGTCATTCATATGCTTTTAATGATATCATTTCCCCGAAAAGCCATGCCGGATGATTTTGTATTAACTTAATGTCACGTCGCCCTTGCTGGGCCTTGGTGAGGGCTGCCCTCGCCTGAGGCCGACGGAGGTCGCCAACCATCCACGAGGCCCACAATGGCCGGCAGAAGGAAAAAAGAAAAGAAGAGAAAAGGAAAAAAAAATGAAGAAGGAAAAGAGAAGAAAAGAAAAAATTGAAAAATAAAAAATTGAAAAAATATTAAAATATTATTAAAAATTGTCCACAATAGTGCCGGTTATGCCCCGTAAGAAGGCTGGCGTCCACGTCAGCGATTTCCAGTCAAAATTGACCAGATGAACTCAATTGGCAAAATATGAAAAGGTGTAGGACTCAATTGACAAAATGTGAAAATGCTAAGACTAAATTGACACAATTAAAGGGTTTAGGACTGAATTGGCAAAAGTGCAATAGGTTTAGGACTTTTAGAACAATTTTCCCCATTTTTTCTTTAAGTCCTTTTTCTTAAGCTCCAAATTAATATGCTTTGTAATTCGGTTTCTAAGTTGAGAGTTGGCAAAAATGATGCAATTGACACTTCGTGGGTCCAAACACCAACAAAAGAAAATTAAAAGGGTCAATTGATCAATTAAGGAAATTTTGATATCAATAAATAATAAAAAATGATGTGAGTGGGGGTCAAAGGACTAAGGAACCGCTACATAGCACACAAAACTTTGGTTACATTTATGATCAAATCTACACTGAATTCTAATTTCAATTGGTCAATCATTTAGTGAGAAGTACCAATGACATATGCAGTAAATTCATCTACTTTAGTGGGTCAGAACAAAATATTTTATTTTTTCCTTTTGGTCCGAAAAGCAAAAGATTTAGGAGGTCAAGTTTATAAATAAAGGAGATTTTTATACCAACAAGTGAAAGAGACAGATGATGTCAGTATGGTCCAATGACTCCATCAAAGGTGCTGAGCAATGCCACTTAATGGTAACCCGTATCTAGCATAACGACCAAGAGACTCTTATCTTAGCAATACGAGTTGGGCCTGATTGAGCCATCTTAATTGTAGAATGTTTATATTATTGTTACCTTACACCTAATTTGATTTTACGAACCATATGAACTTATTAAGTCTGACTTCTTAGTCTCGTGAAATATAGATAATTCACGGCGGGGTTTGGAGATTGAGGAGCCACTCCCTCGTGACCATTTCTCGAGGAGGGGGAAAAGACGCATACCATTGGCGTAATTTTTATACGGCATTCACTATGGTGTCATAATTTTTCATCCGATGACTTAGGTGCCAAAACTATTGAAAAATGTTTCGCTTGAGTAACTCCGGCAACATATCTCCGACGAAGCAAGAGAGATCGCCGCTATCCTCAGTCACAATGATGGGGGAGCTCCTCCTTCATTCCTCCGACCTTCTCTAGGATGTGGTGCAATCCGTGCTCCGCGAGAACAAGGTACGCACCCGAAACACCTCCCCAACTTCTTCCGCCGGTCTGATTCCTTTTCGGAGCTTGCCTTAGAATTTGCCCTTCTCAATTCTTGCAGTCATTCTCTAGGGGTGATCGGTTCCAGGGTGGGTTGGGTTCAGACTTGGAACCTGAAACTAACCCTGTTATAACCGGTTCCTAATTTTTAGAACCTGAAACCGACCCTGTTTTCCTTGGACCCTGTTTTGGAACCGATCCTGTTTTTTTGGTCCGGTTTCAGGGTCTACCCAAGAACCTGTTTTTTTTTTCTTTTTCTGGTTTCATTTTTTTCTAGCAAAATAATATATGTAGCAATGAAACAATTCAAAATAAAAAGATGAATAATAAAATCACTATCTGCCAAAAGTAACAATCCCTAAAATGGGCAATTGAAATTACAATCCATAAAAATTACAATCCAAAAGCACTATGTGGCAAGACATAGTCCAATCGCATAAATTTTTAAGAGTCACATTTCTAGGAATCTGTTCAACATGTTTAGCTCTTTATTTTGCGCCATGATGAGAGCTCCTCACTTCTGTTTCCAAAAATCCGAAGGCTCCGATCCACACATCAGAATCTGATAAACAATTGTCCCATGCCAAAAAGCTCCAACATCCTTCCCTGCCTTACGAGAGGACAAAAAGCTCCAACTGGAAAGTAATGAATATACAAAGTAGTGATTAGGATTTGGGATCTTGGTGATTGCCCACTTGAGGGAGAGTTATAGGTTTGCTGTCTTTTTCTTTTTGACTAAAATGGGACTAACACCAGGACATATATCTAAATATATACACTGACCTTTTGGAGGTGGCCTGAATCCAACCGTGTTACCAATGGATAGAAACCTCATGGTCCAGCCAAGAACAGAAGTAATGACCATACCCTAAAATCAAGATGAGAAAAGGCCAAGGAGATATTCTTTACACACCTTGTCGTATAGATCCCTGCTGCAAGAACTGTGACTCCCCCAACTGCTACTACCAACTTATTTTGATCTGTCAAAATGGCCCGCAATCCACCTACAGAAGAAAAAGTCATCATCAATAATCCACACTTCCCAAG